GCGGCACCCTGGATATACACACTCTACGAATCCTATAAAAACGTCAATCACTTAGAATGTTCAAAATTTATTGAAAAACTAGCATTTAAACTGATGGAACCCCATCTAAAAAAGTAGGTTGGAGACTATAAATCTCTACACAGAAAACTAAAGTTAAGCATATGTCAAATTTTAGGCATTGAAGAAACAAATCAACCCTTAAAAACTAAAATTGCCAAAAACCTATTTTTGTTCATGTCAGGTTTCTCTGGTTTTTCTTCTTTTGCTGATTTTTTTACCATAGGTTAATTTGTATATTTTTCTTACAAAAAATATTTGGTTTTGATTGCTTTATTGTTTTTAGTTTTTTAGAAAGGCAAGCACGTTCTGTACGTTATAAAACCTAATCCCTAAATTGAGTTTGTGTTGGGTTTCTATATTTTGTCATAAATAAAGAGTAACAAAGTTTTTTGATATATATTTGTAGTTGTAATGAAATATTTGGTATCAAAAATTGTTGGTAAGATAAAAAAAAAATAGAGCGCGATGAAAAAAATTTTTAAAATTGGTTGCTATGGCCAACTCAACAGTATTTTACTACTTACATTGAATTTAGCTGTAAGCTAAATAAAGATTATGATTATTATGTAATAATAATAATAATAATAATGGTGATCTATTCATCAGGATCAATACAGATTAATGAACACGTCAAACATAGAAAACAAAAAACACGCAACAGTGACAAACATAAATATGTGAGCATAGCTATTATGCATGTATGTATAAACGTTTTACACAATATATATACATATAGAAAATCAGTCAAGTGAGACATCAAATTGACAAAATTTATAACTCATCGAGACTGTAGTAGGTACTCCTTATTTATGAAATATTTTTTAATTTCGCATTTGAATCTATTATTTTCGCAAATATTTATTAATGGCAAGGGCAAGGTGTTATATATTTGTATCGCTCTGTAATGTGGTCTTTTTTTTAAAGCAAGTTGTCCTATGTTTTGTTACACTTAGGTAAGTATGACCTCGTGTTGTCATCTTGGAGTAAAGATCTCCATTCTTTGTAAAATTACTTTGATTTCGTCGGACCATGGCCGACTAGTATAAAGATTATGGCCTGTCCAAGAGGTACGATACGTGTTGCCATCTATTAATAATTACACTTAATAATTTAGCAAAATTTTAATTTGACTTGACATTATGGGACTTCAAAACGTGTAATGGTGGTTTGTTTCGGTATGAATGCCTTTGTGCCTTTCAAAAAGTGTTAATAATTCTTTTGTCGTTTTTGAATTATTAATAGATGGCAGCACGTATGGTACCTTTGGCAGTCCTTTGGACAGGCCATAATCTTTATACTAGTCGGCCATGGTCGGACATGCATAATCAACTTATACATATACAAGGAGGTGACTGTCATATCCAATTCGTTAAAAAATGACCTACATGATTGTCGAATTGATAAGTTGTAAATAGTTCTTAACTTCTTAAGACTCTCTTTTGTGCCACAATGACTTTATTCCATTCAGCGGACGCAGACCAGTAGACCAGAACATAATACCGTATGCTACTAAAGAGTAAAGACTGAACATAAGCATAGTAAAACTGTGTGATTGTCTCAATGGATAGTTCTTCCTTGAGTCATTGATTAAATACATGTATTTAATCAATGCTTGTGTACACGAATGACATGGCAAGCAATAGCAATATTTATTTTATTTATCAGAATATGTATATGTTCCCTGTAATGAAATTTTGTACCTAAAATTAACCCTAGGAATTTAGTTTCACTAGGTTGCTGAATAATAATATCCCAGACTTCAAAAAATATTTGAAGTCTTTGTAATATCCCTTAACCACAGTATAGATATCATTCAGTATGGACAACTCGCTATTTTTACTGATCCGTTTTCATGGGTGGTCGTTTGTCTTGTGGCCGTATGAGGGCGCACAACGCAAGATACTTCTCTTTCTTACACATTGGGACATTGAACTGCAGTACTTTGTTTATCTAGTGACTTTAATGTGAAATATTTAAAATTTAGCAGTTTAGTTGCATTGGTTTTGATGATTTAAGGCTGATCTTCCGGTGTAATTATTGCAGTTAAGTGTAATTTTCACAGAGACATTTTAAAAAGCATTGTTCATGTTTTAATGGGAGCATTGTTTACTGTTTAATTTAAATGTACATATATTAGCGTTTTCTAATAACGTTGAATTGAACAACCAGTTACAACCATCATGAAAAAGAAATTAATGAAATGTAAAATCGTAATCAGAGAAGCGGGGCCAGATCTAAATTTCAACACGGCATCTCTGTTATAGGGCGCTTAATACATTATTTATTATAATAGACTGTCTGGTTTCTAAGATCAACTAGTTATAGTAGCCTGCATAGATATCGTAGCCGTCCATAGAGTCGAAATTTGCGAATAAAAATAAAATAAAACCGGTTCAAACGGAGCCGACGGTGGCTTGCAAAGTCTGACGTCACTCTGGCACACGTTGCACAGAGACGTATTTAATATTAAATGTCATTTTTTCCGTTATGATATGATCTGTTTAATTTCTGAGCTGAATCTCGACAATAAAATCGAAGCTCTGTTCACTGTACACAAGTTGTGGTATGGTATATTCATCGTTGCGGAGGCAGGTGGAGCGAAAAACCTAGTCATCTTAGCAGCAAACACGCCTATAAACTAGTCCACGTGGACTGTTTGTTTCCTGTCATATTTTAGTTTGCTTGAACCAATTGTGTTGCACCAAACGGCTATTACACTTGTTGAAATAAATTTTCAAACTTCCATCTTTCTCTAGATCATCGGTTTCGTAGCTGTGTGACAAATCGTTTGTCATAGATAGAAAATAGTAAGATTACAGTGACCCTAAGATTTTGTGCAAACAGCCTTAAATACACCCCTGTGTGATGTGACGCGTGGCGTAGTGACAGAACTTGCAAGCCGTCGTCAGCTCCGTTTGAGCCGGTTTTATTTTATTTTTATTCGCAAATTTCGACTCTATGGACGGCTACAATATCTATGCAGACTACTTATACAAAATGTTATTGTTATTACACTATTTTTAATTCTTTTCCAAAAATTCATTTGCACAAAGTGTAAGTAAATTGTGTACGGTTAGGGACACGGAATTTCAAACGACAACCAACTTTCTGACATTTCAAAACATTCTAGTCTTATACCTTATTGTCATTATGATTGACAGGTCGTTTGAAATTCCGTGTCCCAAACTGTACACGAATCAGTTTTAAAATGAAGCGTTTGTGATACTTTTTTTATTGGGTGGCGACATCTAGAACTATTTTGGGCAACGACCACCGATGCCGGCTTAAAATTCGGGTTAGAAAGATCAAAGGCGCCGACACGAGTTGTCCCTACTTAATGATCTCTATACTGTGCCCTAACTGTAGATGTCCTGTGTTTTTGAAAGTTGGTAATGCTATTTTTTCCACATTTAATAAGGGACGAGGCAGTTCTGCTCACAGTATTTTGTCATTTGATTGATAGTTGTAAGTGTTTTATGGGATAATTCTGGAACACTAGAGTTACTAACCATACATGAGGTCTCATCTGCGAATTGATAAATGTTGTTGCTTATGTATTTATTCATAAAGATCATTCACGTATAAAATGAAAAGGATTGGGCCCAAAATTGAGCCTTGCGGGACGCCTTTTTTCATTTCACAGACGCCGGATTTTTGTGTTGTAATAATATTATTTGCTGTAGTTTTTAAAAAGATTTTTTATTTCTTTCCATATAAACATGACTTTATAAGTTGGTTCGCTTGGCCTCTAATACCATATTTCGCCAATTTGTTTAGCAATACTTTGTAATTAATTGCATCAAAGGCTTTTGATAGGTCAAAATAAATGCCTGTACACTGTTGCTGATTATCTATTAGGGATAATAACGAATTCATAAAACTGAATGTGTTGATGATAATATTTTGTTAAGTCGAATAAAGCGCATTAATTTATTATGTACGATTTTTTCGAAAATTTTTGAGAGAGAAGGCAATATAGAAATGGACCTGTAATTGTTAATGTTTTCTCTACTACCTTTTTTATGAATCGAGATGATTTCTGCTGACTTCAGATCGTTTGGAAAATATCCTTCAAAAATCTAAGAAACATTTTTTATTACAGATATTGGAATATCATCTATCCTACAAGTACTATGTTTGTTTGTTGAAATGATTCTATGAATTTATGAACAAGTACAACTGGGTCAGTAATTATTTGAGATCATTATCTTTTATATTCAGCGGTTTTGTATAGTTGGAATTACCATTGCCCTGTTTAGTAACTTTTTTAAACATTGCAAAAGATGTTTTTGTTTTGTTTTTTGAATAGTTAATTATGGAATAGTGTAGATTTTTTTGTATTCATGTAGGGATTTCTTTAAAATTTTCCGTCGTAGTTTTAGTTTTTATAGATTTGTTGAGATTCTGTATTACTATTAACATACAATTTATGCAGGTTGTTAAGAATTATTTTTTAAATTTGAGAAGTTTCTTACACTGTTTATTCAGAAATGTAAAAAACCACTACCTACTGAATTAAGTTGGTACCAAATGAAACTTCTTTAGGGGTTATTTTTACACTGTCGAGTTGGTAGTACACAAAACTTCAAAACTGAAATGTCATGACAAAAATGTCAAAATCAAATAAATAAAAATAACGTGTTTTGAATATATCTCAGCTGGTTTCGAATGAAGACTACCAGTTCTCTGGAAGACTATGATCATCCTAACCTTATTTTTTTTGACAACACATTTGGGCACCAAAAATCTCCCGACAATAATGTTGTCGATTGAGCTTTCGTAATATGTTGCCGGTTGAGTGGTCTTTAATTTTTTGAACAGATAAATAGACGTGTGCATTTTCTATTATGTGCTAAACAACGCAAACAGAATATCTGTGAGCTAGTATTTTTAGTTGCATAATTAGGCAGCACGTGCTACGTGCATACGTGACAAACGACTGAAAATGTGACATAACTTGTATTGGTATTCTGGATATTGTCACTTTTTGGCGAATTGCGATAGTCAATTAACTAATAAAATGTTCTGCGAAGGTAGCAAATATGGAATTAAAAGTGTTCAGCGTGTTTATCGTTCACAACTGGGTTTTCACGTATGCAACACTGACAAGATAAATAAAATGACCTTTCATGCCGCGATTTGATTGGGGAATTTGAGCTGTTGTTGTGAAGATATCTTTATCGCAAACGGCAAGCTGCCACATAACCTCTACGGTTGTGATAACGGATATCGTTAATTATTTTCATTTGAAATTTATATTTAGGTAGCTGATTCGTAGGGTTATTTAACAAAATAATTCTATTCATGAATCACCGCGCAAGATTGTAATGTTTATTTAAGACTCAAAGTGTCGTACGGCATTCTATAGTGTAGTTGTGGGAATTACCCAGTGCCAAAAATAGATTCTTGGGACTCCTACTTCTCATCAAATAAATTCAGTCGCAACGAAGTGGTTGAGTTAAAGCGAAAGTGGCAGTTCAAATCGTAAATACTAAGTAGAAGTCGTGAATAATTTTGGGTTTTTACAACACACACACCTTTTAGGAGGTAAGCACGAGATGGAATGACCAATAAAAAAATTACATTGCCCATTTTTGTGTTTAATGAATGTTTTTTAGTTTGTGGAAATCATGGCAGATAACTATAAGGAGCAATTAACTCAAATTTTTTCTGGTGCTAACATATCAGAGCAACAAATCGATGAAGTCATTAACATTGTGTTGGAACAACAAGGTTCCGTAGGTCCTGAACTACTTCTGGAGGAGATGATAAATTTGCTAGTAGTGTCTGGCGATTCCACATTAGCTAATAATCATGACAATAATGAAGAGGGGGCGGTCGGTATTACTGTTAATGATAATGGTGTTGGAAATTTGCCCAATAGTAAGCAACCCATAATTTATAAATTTACACTACTAGTTCCTTCTAGCTGATGCAAGCCGTGATAAAGATCCCATCGATGTCTGGGAACATCTAAAACAAATGCTGCCAAATGCTGATCCTAACTATCTACGAAATCAAGCAAGAGTTTTGGTAAACAGACCCCCAGGTGAACTAGCTCAGTTCATTGAAAATGCTATAGAAAAAAATGATTACCCCACAATGCAGGACTATCTCATGTATGTGATACAATAATGTATTTTTTTAACTATATAATAATGTAAAACTTTCAGGACCCAAGAACTTTTGGAAGAGTTTGATTTATATATTGCGAAATTTAACGTCACTGCATACTTAAAAGAGGTTGCAACTCCTCTTGAAACATATCTGGATCCAAAACGCAAAGCTCTATTGTCAGATGAATCCGATCCAGATGATATAGAATTCGCCTTGAATTTCCTTCAGAATCACTTTTTGTATCAACGTAGAAAAGAGATAGAAAAGGTGTTTTTACATTTTGACCGCAATTTACTAAAAACGTGCAATAAACTAAAAACTTGGCCAAAAGCTTTTCGCCACCCAAGACAAGCTGGTAAATGGAAAGAATGCAAAAACACTGAGTTATTGAAAGAGGTAATTATATGTTACAATGTTTAGCAGTTCTTCAAGATTGGTTATTTTGTAGATTTCATTTTTCAAACATGAGAAAGCCATTAGACAATTTATAAAACAGAAAGATGAGAAGTACAAGCATGCTTTAGAAGAAGCTAGAAGGCACGGACTTCTGCAAACTTGTGCTTGTTGTTATGATGATGAATTAATACCAGAGGAGTGTCATTTTTGTAAGAAAGGTTGCACTTTTTGCAAAAATTGTGTAAAAACTGGAGCTGAGTATGTCATTGGAAGAGAAGAAACACGATTTCCCTGCCTGGCAGAGTGTTCTTCAGAATTTGATTATTCTACACTGCAGGTGAGTTGTTCACATTTAGAGATGGACATTATAAGAGAAAATGTTTCATAGACATGTCTACTTTACAGAAATATAAACAGAAGTTTTATAACTAAAATTTTGGGCAAGATAAATGAACAGTGTCTTTTTTTAACGCTGACCATAGGATTTACGTCCTAAAAACTTTGGGTCGTGTTAATAGATTTTCTAGCAGGAATTTTTAATTGAAATTTTGCAAAATGTTAGGCCTATAAAGCCATGCCCAAGTGTTAAAATAATTATTTGCAAGAAGCTAGAGAACTTGTTAACATGAAAAAAAGGCATTGTACATTTTACATTTTACATACAAGGTCTGCATAATAAATCTTTTTGACAAAAAAGTTGGAACTCTAACACATAATTAATGTGATTTTTTCTCGTTAGATGGTTTTAGATTCAAAGACACTAGAGGGCGTGTGGCACAGAAAACAAATTGAAGAAATTACAAACGCCGATATAGATGGTTTAGAAACTTGCCCATTTTGTTATTATCGCATGATCCCTAATGAAGGAGATAAAGTCTTTAAATGTCAGAATGTAGACTGCATGGTAGAATCCTGTAGACAGTGTCGCCATAAGTCTCATATTCCTCTTAGATGTAACGAAATTGAGTTTGATGAAGACGTTAGAATGAGAACTTTTATTGAAAATAAGATGACTGAGTCTCTTCTGAGGTAATTGGTGGAGCAAATTTCAGTAACGTTAAACACTTTTGTATTTTAGACATTGTTGGAAGTGCTCTAAGCAATTCTACAAGGACTCTGGTTGCAACAAAATGACGTGCCATTGTGGTGCCAAAATGTGCTACATATGTGGAGCGGCCATTAATGATTATTCTCATTTCGGCGCTGGAGGGTAAGTTTTTCAATACTGCAATGTTTTAATAGAATAATGGATTTTCAACAAATTTATTTTTCATAATCTGTGTAGGGTACAGCCGCACTGTATATTAAAATAACTAAATTCCCCAAAAATAATAATCAAACAGAATAATAAGTTTGTTTAAATTCTGTTTTGACATAACTTAAAATTTGTTTCAAAGTAAGTAGTTCGTTAATTTTTGAAGTTGTACATTTTTAACTTTGGGACATTTTTATGAATAAGTACAAATGTTTTGAGGCGAATTCAGCTGATAATAATAATTTGTGTTTAGGTGTCCTCTATGGACAGAAAATTTGCAAGAATTGCATCTGAATCGTGTGATGGAAGGCGCTCGTGCAGCCAAAGATGAATTGGGAATCACAGTTGATCCAGATCTACTGAAATTTGATCCTACAAGAAACGTAGAACGCGATGTCATATAAGATTTTTGTTTATGTCTTTTCTAGTTTACTTTACCTTATCGTTAATGAGTAAGAATAAGCAATGTCAGTGGCCTTAATATAACTCATCTGTGATGAAAATTTTTTAAGATGTGACATATCATTGTAAACCTATTTGACTGCTGTATATTATATTAAGATCACAGTTAGGTACTGCTTTGTGGAGTTTATATTTTATTATCATTGTACATGGTTAATTCACATTTTAAATATGCCATATAATCATAGTGTATAAGAACAATCTTTATGTTTTTTTACAAGTTGATTTTTATTTTTATAAGTGCCAAGAAAATATGTTCCAAATTTAATAATAGAGGTGTTAAAAGTTTTCAGTAGTGTTTTATTGCATTTGTAACAAATTATCCAACTAGTTTGCCCTAAACGTAGCAGGCAACACTTTATCTTCTTTTTTGGCAATAAATAGTACTAGATACAGCAGTATAAAGTTCTCTCGTTGTGGAACCAAGTGAACCCATTCTAACTTAAATCGAAACATCGCCGATAACGAATTGTTTTCAATAAAATAAATGTTGTCTTGAAAACAGGTCAGCAACCCACAATTCACTCATAGGTTAGGATGCTCAAAATTTATTCGGGATTAAATTTACGCTCCTGCGAAGATAGTACTTTGTCAACTCATGCTAATCCGTCTTTTTTTTATTAGTAAAATGTAACGAAGATTTTAATTAACTGTTTATTCTCTTGTTGTAACTGAGTGTACCTAACTCCCATTAATTTTAAATATTGTTGTAGTTCAAGCAGTGATGATCAAGTGTAACTGTTAGGGAGTATTTCCTATATTTTTTCGGTTGCGTTGATGAAGAAATTTTTCTTTAGTTGTATACAAAATATGGAGCAAATGCAGCAACGATTAACAAAAACGTGGTATTTGTACAAGTGCAAATGAAAGTATTCTAGCTGTGCTTAGAGATTGAGAGGACAAAAGTTGCTGAAATTATTGTCAGATTTGGATTTGGTTTTTTGTTCTGCTGACTTAAATTGAGATCATTTTTCGTTGGATTACGTAGATAAAAAAAACTTAACACTTGAAATGATTACATCTTAATAATAACAAAAAATCAAAGTCAATTTTTTACCTGTATGTGTTACTGTCTGGATATTTTTGAATAGGCAACATATTTTACTTTCCTAAACGACTTCCACAGTTGTCTCTACTAACGTAAATATAACTGTGCGACTTCGTCTTAATTTTTTTTTTTTTATAATAATAATAATAATAATAGGTTTTATTTTCCCAACAGACACAAGGTCTATATAGAGATAGAATCATATATTGATAACTAATGGCAAAAAAATGAATAGAAAAAATAATTAAAACTAATAATAATAATAATAATAATAATAAAAAAGTAACATAAACATAATTTCCAACCTCATCATGAAAAATGTCAATTTTATTTTGAATACAATTCCATAATTTGAAAGAATTTAACATTGGTGAGTTGTAATGGTGAAAAGTGTTTGGGATGTTATAGAAGAAGGTAAGTGGCGATCTGCTTACACCCCTAGGGACAACTATTTTTATTTGATTAAGTAAATATTCACTCCTAATTGAGCCATTAACTATTTTTTGAATAAACACTAAACTAGCCACATTTCTTCTACTCACCAAAGACCTTTCATTAACTAAATTAAGAAGCACATTTTGATTACAATGTAGAATTGAATATTGTCCGAACATTTTAAAAAATAAAAATTTGCAATATTTGTGTAAGACATTTTCAAGTAGTGTAACATACATTTGTTGTGCAGGACTCCATATACTACTGCAATATTCAAGTTTGGTCCTAACTAAGCTATTAAACAATAACCTTATGGAGAATATATTACGAAAATCTGAACTGTTACGTATTATAAAACCTAACAATTTTAAAACACTATTTGTGATATATTCAATGTGCGGCACAAATGATAATTTTGTATCAATGATAACACCTAGATCCCTAAATTGATTACAACGTTCCAAAACATTACCATTTATATTGTAATTGTAATTAATTAGGTTTGTTTTCCTGGTTATCGACATAATCTTACATTTTGATTTATTAATGACAAGACAGTTTAGTGAGCAATATTTAACAAAGGAGTCAATGCTTTCTTGCAAATCATAACAGTCAGACGATGAATTTATAAACTTAATGAGCTTCAAGTCATCAGCGTATACAAAAAATTTGAAGTTGATGATTGTATTCAGAAATGTCGTTAAAAAATATAATGAATAAAAGCGGTCCTAGATTTGACCCTTGCGCTACTCCACTATTACAACTAAATTCACGCGATTTGTAACCAATATATTCCACGTACTGGAATCTGTTCATAACCATGGTTTTTAACAATGAAACTAAGCTGGCACAAAAACCAAATCTCTGCAGTTTTTTCAGTAGAATACAATGGTGGACTTTATCAAAAGCTTTAGTTAAATCGGTGTAAATCACATCAACTTGTAACCTATTATCCAGTGCTTGAGATACCAACTGAGTAAATTCAAATAAATTAGTTGATGTTGATTTACCCTTAATAAAGCCGTGTTGATCATTCGAAATAAGATTAACTACATGTGCATATATGACAGTGGATAAGATACTTTCAAACAATTTAGCAAAATTTGATAATATATCTATAGGTCTGTAATTATTAATATCAAACTTATCACCATTTTTGAAAACTGGACAGACTCTGGATATTAACCAGCTACTGGGATATACAGATGTTTTTATGATTAAATTAAAAATATGAAGAAGAGGTACTAAGAAACAACTAATACAGTCAGATACAATAAATGCAGGAACCCGGTCAGGACCTGCAATGTTATTAGACTTAATTCTTTTAACGGCCTGAACAACATCAGACTCATTTATTTTAAAAGGATGTAGAACAGAAGAAGATTCACAGCTAGATTTCAATTGTAAAGATGGGTAGCACTTTTTATCACAGAATTCACAACGAATATTATCACAATACTGACCACATATATGATTATCACTAGAACTAAATACCCCAGCAAATAGGTGACCAAAGGCGTCAACGATGTCTTGCGACGATGTGAATGTGTTACCATCAGAAATCATATTTCCAGGGATCCTACTTTGATTTTTCTTATTATTAACAAACGTCCAAAAATTTTTTGGATTATCTTTAATGGAATGTTCAGCATTTTTTAAAAACGAAGAATATGCATTACGTATATCATACTTAATTTTCCGCCTCAGTTCTTTGTGTTTGTCTAAGTGATTAATTATACCAGTTTTCTTGTACTTATTCCAATGATATCGCCTTTGTTTGATTGTATCGATTATAGATTTATAGTGAACCATATAGGATAGTTATGTCGTTTTGAATGGCCACTACTTAATGGTACAAACTGTGAGAACAAATCAAACAATATATCATAAAAATAGTTGCAAGCCGTATCAACTTGTTTAATTTCTTCTATTTTGGACCACTCAAACGTCGATATTGATGAATAAAGGCCAACTAAATCAGCTTTCTTAAAATTAAAATAGAACGAATTTGGGTTATTCCGAAAATATGAGCTTTCAACTAGTTTAACTGTAATATTTATACTTAAGCAGGGATGATGTAAATCTTCACGAACTAATGGGAACTCCTCTTTGGAAATGTCAGTGATAACATCCTTGGTTGACACAACCAAATCAAGTAAACGTGCATTGTGATTCAGAATTGTATTCCGCTGGGTGAGGCCATTAAGGCTGAGAAAGTGTTTAAAAATATTGAAAGATACGACAATCCCATATCATTTAAGCAGTCAACAAATTCAGGGATATTAAAGTCACCTGTTATAAGTACTGGGTGCGTAAAGGCAATAGTTGCTTCCAAATATTGTAATAGACGATCATATAAATTGTGTACAAGTCCTGAGTGGTGGGATATATAGCGATGCAAAATTACGAAGCTCTGTAAACCGCTAGATATTTTTACAGCAACTAACTCTATTTCCGGAATAGGTGAGTTTAGAAATAACGCAGCATGCCGAATATTTATCCTTAATAGCTATAAGGACACCTCCCCCTCTTGATGTTAATCTAATTTATAAATGCTAAATCGTGTGTTGTAATGATCCAATTCGAATTTTTTTAAATTAAATTCCGCGCGCACAAAAACGGTTAATAATGAGAAGAGGAAACAAAACAACCACCCAATATGGCGACATGGGCAGAAGTAGGGGTGGAAGTGGACAGCGGCCATTTTTGTTTCCCTCTAACCTCCAACCTCCAACAGTTGAGTTTCAACAGTCGTCGCAATAGGTTGTATTTTTACTCTGTGATTTGTTTGTGCCTTTATTGTTTTTTTCTACTTTCTAGCACCGAAACTGTTCCTCTGAGAAACCGATCAGCCCCTTCTAGTCACCGGGTGATCCGTTCTTCCAATCGTTTTCACGACAGCAAGATTTTGCACTTCTTTTGGCGGTAAGCCGCGATGGGATTTTCGGAGTTTTGGAAAGGGCTAAAAATTGACCAACGGAAAGAACCATGGCCGAAAGGAGGGACCACAACAGCGGCGACCGCGACTTCCAGGTCACGGACTACACACAAGCTACGACCTCCGAGAGACGCCGGAGAAGCCCCAGAGAGGAACGAGAGCGATCTTCACAAGGATGCTCGAGAAGCCCTGCTGTGCCTGAAGCAGGACGCTGAAGGATGGGCAACGGCTAACAGGGACAAGTGGGAAGCTACGACTTCCGCGATGACTTCGTGGATTTCTACCGGCCCGCAGACCGCCGAAGGACCATAGCTGAAGAGGTCAGACGAGGGCGCTTTAATCTTCGCCGAGACGGCCGCATGGTTGACTTCTTTATCAGGAAGTACAAGCTGTGCGCTCGCTGAGCATGTAACGCATGCTCCGACGGCGAGAAAAGTCTTTCGCCAGGGCCCAGGAGTTTCTCCACAGATATGGATCCACATATGAGCAGTGAGACTCTGACAGGGGATCGTCCCGTCGGAGACGTGAGCCCCCGTCACCTCGACGTAGGCATTGTGACGATCCCCGGACACGCGCTCTCGCTCCTGAGGCGCTGGCCAGGCACCGTTCAACACATTCTCACTCCCATCGCCCAACACTTCGGGAAACGCTAGGAGGACACGTTGATGAGGCAGCTACGAGCTCGAACTCGGTGTCGGTGTCGAGGACACCGACCCCGGTCTGAACTGAATCCGAATCTGAACATACACATGTAATGCCGTGCTACAGAAAAAGAGAAAGAGAAATAAACTATTTAATA